TTCATGCTTTCTGTAGGAAGTAGAGTTTCATGAAATAGCATGAACTTTGAACCAAGAGTCAATGACTTAACCCTGACTTTAGTACTTAGTAGGGTGGTTAACCACAGTCACATTATTAATCTCTCTAGTTTTCCACAATATGGTAAATGACACAATAACAGATCTTTTGTAAAGCTATTGTGGATAGTTTTAAAGGATTATTTATTCATATCAGGTGTCTAATAAGAGCTACTTTTATACTTTTGGACTTACAGATAACTACTTCTAATTTCCCATTAAAATACCCGTGAAGGTACAGGATCCAGTGTTGGGGCTCCTAAACCAATACCCTAAAATATGGCACTTTGACATGAGGAACTCAAGAGGCCTCCAGGTCTCTCTGACCTTCCCCTCTACCCACTGCCTGTCAATCTTCTCTCTCCCCCAAAGCAGATGATGAAGTTGTTCACTGAGTTCCCTCATCTGCCTAAACTCCCAGACCTGCCAAAGAAGAAACACCATTACCTCTCGTTCTTTCCTTGAGTTTTCAGCAACTGACCTCATATCGCAGGAACAAGACTGAAGCCTGTCAACACACCTGAACAGACTCGTCTGCTTTGTGGGCACAACAGATAGTCCAAAGCCACTGTATGTTCTTCCAGCCCACTGATTTCCCTAAAAACCAGTTACCACCCTGTTAAAATCATCCACACTTCCCACCTCCCTTTCTGCTAAGAAGAAGGGTATATACACCTGTCTCCCAGGGTGTGGCAGGGTCGTCACTGTGACTCTCCCTCATGCACATTAATAAATGTGTATGCTTTTTAATGACTTTTATCAGCTGATTTTCAGCAAACCTTCAGAGGAAAAAGGAGACATTTTCCCTTGGCCACTCCAGTAGCCACAGTACTGTAAGCTAAAGATAACAGAAGATCCCCAAGAATCTGAGGAAAATTTCCTTTAAGTACAGCATTAATCACTGAATGTTCTACTGTCTAACAACTGTATGGCATTTTAAAAAATGTTTAGCTGAGGTTACATATATATATAACATGAAGTTTACTCTTTTTAAGTATACAGTTCAGTGACTATGAAGTACATTTATATTGCTGTACAACCATCACAACCATCCATCTCCAGAACGTTTTTAAATCGTCTAAACCTGAAACTCTGTACTCATCAGCAATGAGTACCCTTCATTCCCTACCCTTCCCCCTGAAACTCTGGGACCCACCATCTGTCTCTACGAATTTCACAACACTAGGTACCTAACAGAGGTGCAATCACCCATTTGCCCTTTTGTAACTGACTTATTTCACTTAGTATGTCTTCAAGGTCCACTGATGTTATAGCATGTGTCAAAATTTCCTTTTTAAGGCTGAATTCCATCTATGTGTCACACATTTTGTATATCCATACATCTGTTGATAGACATGCGAGTTGCTCCCACCAAATGTGTACAATTATCTGCTTCCAATTTTGGGGGTATATACCTAGACAGGGAACTGCTGGATCATTTAATAATTTTATTTGTAATGTCCTAAGGAACTAGAGAGCATTCTGAAGTCTGAGGTGGAGGCCCAAGCAGTCATCCTTGCTAACTGGAATCGTGGAGTCCTGAGCTGGTCATAGCTAGGCTGATCCCATTAGTGGCGGACACAGACCAGAAAGAGAAGAGCACTGACATGAGGTCTATACAGAATTGGCATAAGCCGGGTGCTGTGGCTCACGCCTGTAGTCCCAGCTACTTGGGAGGCTGAGGTGGGAGGACTGCTTGACCCCAGGAGTTCAAGGCCAGCCTGGACAACACAGTGAAACGTCATCTCTTTTAAAAAAAAAAATAGTATAGTAAAAAGGAAAATGAAACATCATACTAAAGAAGCAGAACAGGTGAGGCTTAGTGGCTCACGCCTGTAATCCCAGCACTTTGGGAGGCCAAGGCGGACGAATCATCTGAGTTCAGGAGTTCAAGACCTGGTCAACATGGTGAAACCCGGTTCTTCTAAAAATACAAAAATTAGCCAGGCGTGGTGGTGGGTGCCTGTAGTCCCGGCTACTCAGGAGGCTGAGGCAGGAGAATTGCTTAAACCCTGCCTCAGCCTCCTGAGTAGGCAGAGGTTTCAGTAAGCCAAGACTGCACCACTGCACTCCAGTCTGGGTGACAGTCAGGTCAATATGAACTCACAAATTCCTGGTCTCAAAAGAAAAGAAAAGAAAAGAAAAGAAACAGAACAAAAGCATACTGGTGAAAATGTGAAAATCAACACAGCAAACACAAGAAATCTTGTCCTCAGTAAGACAAAAGGCGGCAGAACTGCTGTGGAAGAGGGGCAAGGATAGGCTGAGATGAGGGCAGAATGACAGAGCATGGCCAGTCAACAAAGTTCAAAAAAAAAAAAAAAGAAAGCAAGGAAATTGGAATTACGTTAATGACAATAAATAGATATTGGAAAGAAAAGAACAGAAAAACAGTTCAGCCAATGTGTGGCCATTCAGAACCATCCTGTCTTAGAGGTCTAACACTAAGAATGATGGGAGAAGGGGCTTCCAGTCTTTTTTCTATGTTTTTTTTTTTTACCTAGTTAACCCATTTCACATGTACAGTTATTAATATAACTTTTCTGCTTAATACAAGTGTCTTTCCAAAGTTTTGTGCTCACTGAGGACAGAATAACAAATGTCAGTCAGAACATGAACATTTTTAAGGCTTCTGATACATTTGTTGCAAAGAGTATCCACAAGGTATGAGGCCATCAGCACTACCACCATTTTTATTTTTATTTTGAAAGAATCTTAAACTTAGAGAACAGTTGCAAAAATAGAATAATATGACTTATTTTTTCTTAGCTGTTTGAGAGTTAGTTGCCAACACAATGGCCCATCACCTCCAAATTGTGTACTTCTTACATACAATGACGCTGTCTACACCTATGAAAATCAGAAAGTTACCATGGATGCATTACTACCATCCAATCCTAGGATGCTGTTCAAAGTTCACCAATCCTTCCACCACAATCGTGTTTCACAGTAAACGGTTCCAGTTCAGAATCAAGGCTTCTGTTTGCTTAATTTTCATGAGCTTGACTCTTCTGAAGATTAGAGACCAGTTATTTTGTTATACGATGTGACTCAATTTGAGTTTGCTTAATGTTTCTTCATGAATAGATTCAGGTTATACATCTTTGGCGGGAATATCACAGTAATGATGCTGTGTTCTTCTCATAGCCTATCAGGTGGTACATAACTTCAATTAGTCTTCTTACTGACGCTTTTAATTTTGATCACTTGGTTAAGGTGTTACCTGCCAGACTTCTCCACTGTGAAGTTTCTCATTTTCCCTTTGTAATTTGCATAAATTTGGGAGTGGGGAGAGTTACTCTGAGACTATGTTCACATGCTTCGGACTTAAGTATCAAACTTAAGACTTTAAGCACTGATTTATTCAGGTCAATATGAACTCACAAATTCCTATGTTATTCAGTGAGTTATAACCTATTACTATCATTATTTTGATGCTCAAATTGCCACGCATTTGGCTAGCAGGGGCCTCTTCAAGCTGACTCATATGTCCTTTTGCTATCTCCTTGTCTTTGAGCATTTCTTTACCTTATGAAACAAGAAGGTATCCCAGGCTCATCTTCTACTTTTCTTTGTTCCAGCCCTGGAATCAGTCATTCTTCCAAAGGGCACTTTTAAGTAGAGAACAGTATTTAGAAACCACAGTCTAGGACTAGGTGTGCACTAGGTGTTACTCTTCCCAGGCTCTCTCAGTGGACAGAACTAGGAAACAGATGTGTATGGAATACACTTACACAAAGATTTGCATCTATGTTTATTTGTACACAGCCTTTTCTCTCTGTTGAATACCCAGAGTTCACACCAATATCTCTAATGAACAGAGTTTTATTCCTGTTTCTCCCCTTTCCAAAACAACAAGCCATGTCTCTGTTGCCCTCTCCTGTCCGGCTCCAAGATCTTGTTATCTTCTTTGGTTCTTCACTTCTTTTTTCTGAACAGAAAATTTTATTTTGTTGATTTGGAAAGGCTGAATCCCTTGCTACTTTTCTATTTTCTCTGAGCCCTACTTTTTCTGAGCTTTTTGCATTCCTGAATTTTTCTATTATTCTCTACTCCAGTGATTCTTAATCAGGGGTGATTTTGCTCCTCCCCCCGCAAAGTCTGGCAATGGTTGGAGACATCTGGGATTCTGAGGACTGGGGTATAACTAGCACCTAGTAGGTGGCGGCCTCAGACACTGCTACACATGCTGCAATGCACAAGACAGTCCCCACAACAAAAGGTTATCCAGCCCAAACGTCAACAGTGCCAAACCCTGCTCTGGAGTCTCTAAACTGCCTGATAGCTCTTCTTTTGATTTCTTCCAAAACAAGATATTAGAAAAGAAAGGCTGAAAGAGAAATATTTTTAATGTAGGCAATGACATTCTCTAAATCCTAGGTCAGAGTTACAAATATTGGCCATAGAACCTTTTAGAATTCCAAAGCATTGTCAAAAAGACCAACCAAAAAAGCCCTTTTTTATTTCCACTAAAAATTATCTTAGCTGTGTTCTTGGCATAAAGAGACTCACCTGAACCATAAAGTTTTAAATGTGTGTTTGTCATGTTGTCAAGAATTCATATCTAGATTATCTAAAGTGCATCTGTACTACCTTAAATGTCAATGAAAGAAAAATGCAATTAATCATTAAATTTTTTTAAATCCTGTAAGGCCAGTACCAAGGTACTAAATATATATATATATATATATATATATATATATATATATATATATAAATGTACGCATATAAAATACATATTTTTAAAAATAAAGAACAGTATTAAAAATAGAATTGTTGCTTTCTTGGAATTCAGGCCTTTGAAAGAAAATACATATATAGCAGCAGGACATGAAGCAATTTAACAAGGTATGTAAGATAGATTGGAAAGAAAGGAGATTTTAAAGCATTTTTCTCTTCACAAACACAATATACATCTTCTTGGTTATAGACTTGTTACTGACCTGCCAGACGAGTTTACTATCATTTTCACAAGTACTCAATTCTTAGAAGCAAGGGATTTCACAGTCTCCTCTACCCAATCGAAGCAGGGTCTTATGGTGACCATCTGATCATAATCCTATCCCACTGACAGAATTGACATCTACTTTCTGCCACCATTGCACAAGAGCACAGCATACTGCTGAATCCAATAAAACTTATCTAGGGGCTAACAGCCAAGCAAAATCTACACTGACTTCCTTTTCTTCAGCACAATACCTTTTGAAAAGTTGCATAAATAAAACGGTATTCACCACACCTGTGATTTTTCCATGAGAAATTGCTAAAAACATTCAGGAGGATTCTTGCAGTCTTGATTTCCTAATGAACTAAGGGAACTTACATAATGAAGAGAATTCTTCTTAACCACTTAGGTTTCAAAAGCCTACAAAGTCTGTAAATTATGCTTCCTTTCCAACAAACATCAAACATAACTTGGTATTCAAAACTTTGACATCTCCACTTCAAATGCCTTAGTTTCGGTCCTGACTCATTATAAGAAAGGAGCCTGTTAGAATAGCAAAATAATTATTATGAAATCATAACAATAATGACAACAGTAGCTAACACTTCTTGAACTGAGCACTTATTCTGTGCCAGATACTATTCTAAATGCTCTATTGGTGTAAGCTCACATAATTCTATGACAAGCTAGTAGATGCTCATCATAATTATCAGTCTCATTTTACAGAGAAGAAAACTGAAGCCCAGGAGTGTGAATAATTTTTTCTAGGTTAGAACCAGAATTGAAATTAGAAAGCCTGATTGTAAAACTCACAGTCTTACCCACGTTTCTGCCTCTCTGACTGAATCTGAAACTCATCATTCATTATAGCATCAAACCTACAGCTTTTCTTAAGGCCTGTCTGCATGAGTATGTACTGGGAGGATGTTTATACAGCTCCCAATGCAAATGCTTAGAGGTTTGTCTAGGTAAACAGCACATTTTATTGTAAAAATAGATACTGAAGAGAATATCATTTGCTTTGTAAAGGTAATGGTTAATTATTCTCAACACCAACAGCAGAAACATATGACAACTGCAAGGTAGTCACCAATTTATGGGAGAAAAAGAAAACATTAAGTATATGTCTCAATCTCTGACAGAAGCTCCTTTCTTCACCTTAGGTGAAGATCAACAGTTCCTCTTCTACTGCCCTTGCTGCTACCAAACAGCAAAGTTCAGGGAAGACAGAGGAGCTTTGACGCCTTGTGACATGGGTACAGAATTCTACTACGTCTTTTTGTTTCAGTACAATATATAACTCTACCCTAGAGAGGGACTTAATCTTTCTGTGGAATAGATGGTAAATTCTGATTCCTGATCACCTACACTATCTCAGAGAGCCTCTGACACAGAACTGTCTGTGGTCACGTGATGGGAGGTGATGAAGTGGCCTCACAGGAGGCCCAGCGTCCATGGACTTGGGTTTATACAACCACAGAGATACTTGCCTGCCCACCTGGCCACCCGGTCTAGTGTAAAGATTGGTCCTATAGATTTGTGGAAAGAAAGAGGTCCAGGAAATTCTTCTTAGAAGGTAGAATATTTATTTATTCGTCATTATATTATTGATCAGCCTCTACCTACCCTGATGTAATTATCACTCCATTGATGAAATGCTCTCTCAATTCAATTCTATTGCTTTCTCAGCAATACAGGCAAAAATTTTACACATCAAGCTTTTTGTTTGCATATTTTTGTTCATTTTTCAGCAAATCAAAACCCATTCAAATGGAAAATGGAAAGATGGAAAAATGAAACTGTGCATTTGGATGTGATATTGAGCACAGGGTATCAGCACCTCACTTTGTGAGTGCTCTGTGGCTTCGACATTCTATCTATGGCCTCTTGGAAGGTTTGACACCTGAGGAGCACAGCACTTAAAATTGTTACATAATCAGGGTTTCCTCGCCTAGGTTTTAAGGGACACTGATAGCTGGAAACATGAACATCTACAGCAACTAATTGTAAGCACTGCTGAGCACAGCCACAGACTGTGGGTCCTTTGTTAAATAAAAGTCTAGTCAAATGACAAGAGAACTGAAATTCATGATCATTATCAAGAAGATGCATTGCTGCACTTAAGACATTAGTCCCTCTACAGATAGGCTGTCACCTCTGCACAAGTCAATATGGGCAAAAATTGTTTTCAAAATCAGGTTTGTTCTCAAACACTAAAATGCACATATCAGAGAGAAATACTTTCTCAAGCATCTGTATACAAATATATTCATTACAAAAATATTGGTTACAGTAGAAAAGGAGAGGTCAGTGTCTATCAATAGGAGATCGAGTATGAGAATCACAGTGCACAGTGAAGGAGTTAAGAACATGGGTTCTGCAGCCACACAGCCTTGGTTTAAATCCTGACTTTGCCACGTACTGTGTGACCTGGGGCAACTTACATAAACTCAATAAATCTTGGTTTCCTCATCTGGATATAGAGTTTATTAGTAAAACACCTGACACATAAGAGCTCAATAATTGTTAGCAATTATTATTACATTATTATTATGCTATGTATATGGACATTAAAAAAAGATAGAACTGTATCTATTAGCGTAGAAAGAGGACCTGAGTGATTGTTGAGTAAGAAAATGTTACCAGCAAATCGTAGTGGGTATAACTAATGTAACTCTGCATGTGCACATATGTGTGTGGGTACACATGGAAAATATTCTGGAATACACACCAAACTGTCACGAGAAATCCCCTTGAAATATTAGGAGTGGCTAGGGAGCAGAAGGCTTTCACTTCTGCACTTTCCACAGTGCCAGGGTCACAACAGTAAATAGCAAAAATAACCTTAACTCTAGATTTTCTTATCTAAATTTTAATTCTGTGAAGAATTCTCTATTTCCCCTTTTCACATCAAGATAGTAGAATGCAGTTTAGAAAGGGTGCGATCACTTGTTAGAATGTACAATTTTTAAGCTTCAATAAAGGATGCCGCTAAACTTCTCTACCAACATATTCTCTAGACTCCCCACCCAGCTGTGCCTCTCCATTAGGACACAGGCAGGTTTCTGTTCCTCTCCAAGTCACTGTGTAATTGTCCTGGCTTCAGTATCCATGGTGAATGAGAACAGCGAAAAGACACAAGTGCTGGGAATTCAAGCAGCATCTACTTAAAAAGCAAACTCTTGCTAATCAGTGAGAAGAGTCTGAACAAACGCTGTGCTGAGGGCACTGGTGGAGAGCTGCGCTGGAATGGCTGCCTGCGCATAGCCGTGGTCCTTTAAATGAGCAATCAGAAAACAAGGATCAGATCACAGAGCTAGCTCGAGCAGATGAATTAAATCTGTCGTTACTGGATTATAGAATTCAAAGATATGACAGAGGATATTACATGTCTGAAAACGACCACATGAAGCTGCCTGAATCATTCCCCATCTCCCCCCACACACATTTTCACTAGAAAAGAGTTGTTCTTTCCCATTTTCCAAAATCATTACTATTTTAGGATTGTCAAGAAAAAAAAAGAGGATGCTGCTGAGAATCAATTGTTTCACTCTGGGAGTTCTATTCACTAGAAAAACAAAGCCATGGCTTTCAACTTCAAGACAAAGAGAGGGACATACAGCAAAAAGATGGCACACTTGGGAGCTACAGGGCCTGAGTTCAAATCCTGTTTCCAATTTCTAGCTATTTATCTTTGGTGGGTCACTTAACCTCAGAACCCACTGCATAGGATTATTACAAAAGCAGAGAATGTGTGTGTGTGTGTGTGTGTGTGTGTGAGGGAGTGTGTGTGTGTGAGAGTGTGTGAGAGAGTGTGAGTGTGTGTCACTGAAAGCGTGTATGAGTGTGTGTGCGTATGTAATTGTGTGAGTGTGGGTGGGGGGGAGTGTGTGAGTGTCTGTGTGTGAGAGAGTGTGAGTGTGTGCCGCTGAAAGTGGGTATGAGTGTATGTGCGTATGTGATTGTGTGAGTGTGGGTGGGGGGAGTGTGTGAGAGAGAGAGAGAGAGAGAGAGTGTGTGTGTGTGTGTGTGTGTGTGTGTGTGTGTATGTGTGTGTGTTGCTGAAAATATTACCTGGTACTTAGTACATACCTAGTAATTGCTAGCTACTATTTCAGAGAGACTTCTGTGGATGGCAAATACTGACCATTTGGTTTTAAAAAAAAATAAAGAATAAAGACAGTTAATTCCTTCAAAATTATTATATGGCTATCACTATCAGGTGGGGGGGTGAATGAGGAACTACAGACATCACTGAATTTACAGCAAATGTCCTGGGCAGGTAACCTACAGGTCAAATTGAGATGAGAATCATGTTGCTTATATCATAGTCCAGTATTTTTTAATACTGCATCAGATTCTGCTTTCTGCAATATCATACGGAAGAAACTACAAAATATTCCAGGACACAGTCACAGACGTACAAGACAGCAAACATTTTATCTGTTTCCCAAAAAAGAAGAACCTCATTCTGCCTTAATAACAAAAGGTTAAAGTATATTGGTTGACAGCATCTAGAAAGGAAGTTACTGCAAATCTGATTCAGAAGAAAAGAAACAGACTGCCCTGAACATGACAGCACCATCAGAAAAAGAGCTGTACCCTCCGTGCCAATGTGCGCCAAACACAAAGACATCTCACATCCCTCTAAAAACAGAAAAGAGGTAACTACTGCGATGGTCATTTTCTGGAATTCCTTAATTGGATCCTGAAGAGAATGGTGTTAGGTCAGAACACTCATAGCTCAGAAAAAGGTGTGTCCTACATACCAGGCTGTCCTACACCCACCACAAAGAAAGCACAGACGGAAATTCCCAGGGCTTGGTGTCTCGCAGAGACAGAAACTCCAGCCATAAGCTTAGCAATGTACCATCATGATGAAGGAAGTGAGTGTGATTCCTCCCTTGTGTCATCTGAGTGGACGTATGATTAAGCTGAACAGAGATACAGATACAGTGATGTTACTGAGAGGAAGCAACAGAATTTTCATTGACCTAAGGAACTACAGGTGAGTCCCAAGTGTTCTGAAGAAAAATCTGGCCTAGTGCAGTGGCTCACGCCTGTAACCCCAGCACTTTGGGAGGCCGAGGCAGGCAGATCACCTGAGGTCAGGAGTTTAAGATCAGCCTGGCCAACATGGTAAAACACTGTCACCACTAAAAATACAAAATTAGCCAGGCATGGTGGCGGGCGCCTGTAGTCCCAGCTACTTGGGAGGTTGAGGCAGGAGAATCACTTGAACCTGGGACGCAGAGGTGGCAGTGAGCTGAGATCATGCCACTGCACTCCAGCCCAGGCGACAGAGTAAGACTTCATCTAAAAAAAAGAAAGAAAGAAAAGAAAAAGAAAAACCCATACCAGAAAACAAGTTTCTCTTTCTGCCAAAAAGCACAGTCCTTCTTCTGACCTTCCCTACATCTTGCAGAAGAGACCATAAAGAAGTCTTAGATCAAATACTCATTTATATCAGCGACTTGTATGTAATTACAGAGTTTAATCACATATCCTTGAAAGACACACTCAACTAAACAAAATTATCAGCACACCTCACTGTATACATTGAGCTTCAGTGTGCTGTGCTTCACAGATCTTGTGTTTATTACAAATTGAAGGTGTGTGGCAGTCCTCTGTCAAGCGGGTCTATTAGCACCATTTGTCTAATAGCATGCGTTCACTTCATGTGTCTATTGTCACATAATTCCCACAATATTTCAAGCTTTTCACTGTTCTGTCTGTTATGGTTATCAGTGTTCTCTGACATTACTACTGTAAGTGTTTTGGGGCACCACAAATGGTGCCCACATAAGACAGTTAACTTCATCAATAAATGCATGCATTCTGACAGCTTCACCAATTTCATTCCCATCTCTCTCCCTCTCCTCAGGCCTACATATCCTGAGACATAGTAATACTGAAATTAGTCCAATTAGTAACCTGACAGTGGCTTCTAAATGTTCACATGAAAGGAAGAGCTGCAGGTCTCTCACTGTGATTCAAAAGCTAGAAATTTAGCCTCAGTAAGGAAGCCATGTTGAAAATCAAGATCAGTTCAAAGACAGGCATCTTGCACAAAACAGCCAAGTTGTGAATGCAAAAGAAAAGTTATTGAGGGAAATTAAAAGTGCTACTCCAGTGAACACACAAATAATAAGAAAGTGAGACAGCCTATTGCTGATATGGAAAAGGTTTTAGTGATCTGGACAGAAGATCAAATGAGCTACAAACATTCCCTTGAGCCAAAGCCTAATCCAGAGGAAAGCCCTAACTTGCTTCAATCCTATGTAGGCTGAGAGAGGTGAGAAAACTACAGAAGAAAACAAGGAAACCAGCAGAGTTTGGTTCATGAGGTTTAAGGAAGGAAGCCGTCTTTGTAACATAAAACTACACAGTGAAGTTGCAGCAAGTTAACAAGATCTAGCTAAGATGATTGATGAGAGTGATGACACTAAAAAACCAACCCAAATGCCTATCAATGATAGACTGGATATAGAGAATGTGGCACATGTACACCATGGAATACTATGTAGCCACAAAAAAGGATGAGTTCACATCCTTTGCAGGGACATGGATGAAGCTGGAAACCACCATTCTCAGCAAACTGACACAAGAACAGTAAAACCAAACACCACATGTTCTCACTTATGGGTGGGAGTTGAACAACAAGAACTCATGGACATAGGGAGGGGAACATCACACACTGGAGCCTGTCAGGGGATGGGGGGCGAGGGGAGGGATAGCATCAGGAGAAATATCTAATGTAGATGATGGGTTGATGGGTGAAGCAAATCAGCATGGCACGTGTATACCTATGTAACAATCCTGCATTTTATGCATATGTACCCCAGAAGTTAAAGTATCAAAAAATGAAACAAACAGACTTTCAATGTAGATGAAACCGCCTTATATTGGAATGATATACCATCTAAGACTTTCATAACTAGAGAGGAGAAGTCAATGCTTGGCTTTAAAACTTCAAAAGACAGAATGATTCTCTTGTTAGGGGCTAATGCCAACTGATGACTTTAAGTTGAAGCAAATATTCATTTACCATTCAAAAAATCCCACAGCCCTCAAGAACTGTGGTAAATCTGTACTGCCCATGCTCTATCAATGTAATAACAAAGCCTGAATGACAGCATATCTATTTATAAGCATAGTTTAGGGAATATTTGAAGTCCACTCTTGTCACCTACTGCTCAGAAAAAATATTTCTTTGACAACGCACGTACTCATCCAAGAGCTCTCATGGAGATGTACAAGAAGATGAATGATGTTTTCTTGCCTACTAACACAAAATCCATTCTGCAGCCCATGGATCAAGGAGTATTATTATTTAAGAAATACATTTTGTAAGGCTATAGCTGCCATAGATACTGATTCTTCTGATGGATCTGGGACAGTAAATTGAAAACCTTCTGGAAAGGATTTACTATTCCAGATACCATTAGAAACACCCATGCTTCATGGAAGGAGATCAAAATATCAGCATTAACAAGAGTTTAGAAGGTTGATTCCAATCCTCATGGATGACTTTGAGGGGTTCAAGTCTTCAGCGAAGAAAGTAATCAGAAATGAAAAACATTACAACTGATACCACAGAAATACAAAGGCTCATTAGAGACTGTCATGAACAACAATATGCTGAGAAACTGGAAAACCTCAAGGAAATAAATTCCTGGACATATACAACCTACCAAAATTGAATTAGGAAGAAAGAGAAAACCTGAAAAAAACCAATAATGAGTACTGGAAGTCCTACCCAGAACAATCAGGCAAGAGAAAGAAATAGAGGGTATCCAAATTGGAAAAAAGGAAGTCAAACGTCCCTCTTTGTGAATGACATGATCCTATATGCAGAAAAACCTAAAGACTCCACCAAAAAACTCTTTGAACTGATAAATGAATTCAGTAGAGTTGCAAGATACAAAATCAATATACAAAACTATACACCAATAATGAAGTAGCGAAAAAAGAAATTAAAAAAGCAATTCCACTTACAACAGCTACAAAAACATAAATAAAATACCTAAGAATAAATTTAACGAAGGAGGAGAGAGACCTCTAGAAGGACATCTATGAAAAACTGATGGTAGAAATTGAAGAGAATACAAATGGAGCTGTCCCATCCTCATAAACTGGAAGAAGTCATATTGTTAAGATGACCTTGCTACCCAAAGCAATCTACAGATTTAATGTAATACCTGTCGAAATACCAAATCACACTTTTCAGAGAAATATTTTCTTAAATCCTAAAATTTCTT